AAAAAAAAAAAAAGTGGGATGGGGAATAGAAGGCGGAAGTAACAGTGAGGCTGTGGTGAAATTAGCAGATTGTCCAACGGCAATATGCCCAGTGATCTCTCGCGCGTGTGGGCGAGGAGAGAGCAAATAACCAAGGAAACCACACGCAACACCGACAAATAATAACAATAATAATCGAATCATCAAAAGAGGCAGGAGTCCGTACTGTCCAATCAACAGAAGAAAATATCGGTAAGGGCCTGGCATTGATAAATCCCTTTTCACACGTTGTCCCCTGTACCGACGTCCTTAGATCCCGCAGCCCACCATATATATATATATATATGTTGTTTGCGTGGTTGTTTCGTCCTTTCTTTCATTTCCTCTTTAGCCCTTGTTAACCCGGCCCCAACCCCACCCCACACATCCTAAAAAAAAAAAAATAATAATAATAATAATAGAATGATCTCCTTCCCCTCCCCAGAAACCATCCTCCAATTTCTACTATGCTATCCCTTTAGTGTCGTCGTGGGATACGCTCCTCTCCAAACACACCCACACACTCCACGCACACAGTATTACAACTTGGGTTCGGCCTGTGCCGTGAGACATACGAGACCTGGAAGGGCTTTCCCCTCAAGCAGCTCCAGAAAAGCTCCACCCCCCGTACTGGTGTGCGTGATGCTGCTCCTGTAACGCGTCGTGGCCGCCGCTGTCTCACCCCCACCCACGATGGAAACCAGTCGCTTATTACGTTTGATTGCCTCTGCCAACGAAATTGTGCCTGTAGCAAAGTTTGGAAACTCAAAGACGCCAACAGGTCCATTCCAAAGAAGCGTTCGGGCCTTGGCCACAGCCTTGGAACAAATTTCATTCGTCTTTGGGCCAAAATCCAAAGCCATGTAACCGTTTGGTATATCTGCCCCGGTCGTAGTAAAAGGATCTTCGTTGCTGAACGTCTTGGCACATTTATGATCTACGGGAAGAATAATTTGTACCTTCTTTGCTCGTGCACGATCCAGTAACTCACGTGCGACAGCGTGGAGATCCAAATCCCGTCCACGTTCCCGCATGCTGCGTTCCACCTTGGAGTTACCACATGAATGCCCCTGTGCCTCAAGAAACGTGTACGCCATGGCGCCGCCGATGATAATTATTTGGGCAAAATTCATGATGCTCGAGAGCACAATAATCTTGTCGGATACTTTTGCCCCACCCACGATGCAAAGCACTGGAAGTGTGGGTCTGTGCATCACCATGCTGATAGCCTTAATCTCACGGTTAATCAAGTAGCCCGTCACGCCAGCCCCTAAAACACGGGGAAGACCCGTCATGCTTGCGGCCATTCGATGGACCGTACCAAACGCATCACAAACGTAGATGTCGCTAAAGGCGGCCAACTGCAGTGCCATACGATTCCGCGCCGAAGTTCGCGTTGCGTCCTCGCCTGGAAAGAAACGAAGATTCTCCAAAAGCATGACCTCGCCATTTTCCATGTTCTTCACCATGTTGGGTGCCTCCTCCAGTGTGGAGCAAAAAAGAACCTTTTTGCCTAGCACCTCCTCAAAACGGGGCAAGACGCGCTTTAGTGAAAGGCGAGCGTCCGGCTTCTTAGGCCGTCCAAGGTGAGAGGCAACAATAACACGGCCACCGTCACGGACAATTTTCAAAATTGTCGGGACGGCGGCACGAACGCGGCTGTCATCCCGTATATTTCCTGTTGCCTTGTCAAACGGCACGTTAAAGTCCACGCGTACAAAAACGCGGCGGGAGCGAAAATCCAAGTCGTCCACAGAAAGCTTTGGGGTGAGGGCGGCACGAAGGTTCATGTGCACCGCAAAATCAAACACGCGGGGAAGAATGATGGGCAGGATGGTCCACCCCACCATACTGGCCTGCGGATCCCGCGTCGCCTGGATGACAACAGGAATGTCGACGGAGTCTTTTAGCCTGGCCACAAGCGTCACCGTGCCATCTTCCACATCAAGAGGGTATTTGGGAATGAGGAAGGTAATGCTTTTGCCTTGTACCTCGCCAACGCTCCTGCCAAAAAACTCACACGCAGGACGATTCATATCGGTGATGACCATATCGTTGTCGCCAATGACAACGATGTCGCGAAGCGACTTGAATATCATGTCAATCTTTGAGTGGTGGAGCATAGCAAAACCGTCTCAGTGAAGTGAGGACACAACAAAACGAACTAAGAGAGAAAAGTACTACTACTTTTGCCTGACAAATTGATGCTTTCACAATAAATTTAATAAATAGCAAATAAAAATAAAATAAAAAAGGGGGACTTAACCTTCAGCGTTCTGAAGGGAACTCAAAGACGAGGAGGAGGCGGCAGCATTGCAAAGAGGCGCAGCCTCGTTTTCACTCAACATCACAGGCACAACACAACACGCATGCCTCTCCATCCGCATATACCAGTGGAACTATAAATACAAATAAATATATGTATATACATTTATATATACATGCACATACATA